CCATATCATGAAGATAAGGATGATCCGAGTAGGGGCCAATCAAGTCGGGCGCCAATGACTATCACCGCCTCGCATGATCGGGAGATTGAGGCTATCATAGATTACCAGGCCAGGCGAAAACAAGGGCAAAAAGCCACTGCTATGTTCCTCGTCCATTGGAAAGGGCAATCACCGGAGGAAGCCACGTGGGAACGATATGAAGACTTGTGGCAATTCAAAGATAAGATCCGAGAGTTTATGCAGCAGCATTGCGACGCGGTCGTCGCAATATTGGGGGGGGAGAGTGTGATGACCCGCCATGTCATCATGCCACATAGGCGCCATTTGGCATATATTAATGCCATTGTGGAAGCTTACATAAGAAGAAGGCTAGCATTTGTGAGAAGATTCTAGAGAGGTATGGACATTTCCTTATGAAGAACCTAGATCTTATGGATTTGCTAGAAAAGTCCTTGGAATCTTCTAGGCTTGTAGAGAATTCTAGAAAAAGCCCTTATCTTGTAAATATCACGGACTTGTGTAATAATTAATATTTACACACTAGCCCCTAGGAGACTAGTATATAAAGGGGGTCATTCATTTGTAATTCATCGAGCAAACAATTCAAGTTCTCTCTAATACAAAGCTTCCTTTAACAATTCTCTTGTGTTCTTTCTTCCATTCTCTTAGCGATCTTGAGTGTAGTAAGGCTGACTTGACATAGCAAAAACGTGAGCAAGTTGTGCAAGATCGTGAGCGAGTTGTCAAGTGTCGCACGTGTACTTAGTTAACAACTAAGGACGTGACAGTTGCGACTGAAAAATTGGACCATACTTAAGAAGCAACACAACGCTTCACTTCTCCACAATTTCTTATTTTGTAATCAGACGATTAGCAGAAAAAGGGGACTCAATCTATATACTTCTAGGATCCCAAGCTTACCGGCAAATATTCTATTCAGTAGCGAATTCAATATTTATACTTAATGAGTTCGATCTTTAAAAATTTTAATACCGACTCACTGTATTTTTAAGATAAAGAATTCAAAATATTTGTTAAAATTAACACACATATATTTGCTCAAAAATACTAAATTCGGATGAACCGGCTGCCTAAGTGTTGCATCCGCCATTGATCCAGGTTAAATGATTCACGAATAAAAATTGTGCGGAGAAAATGAACTTATATTTAACATTGACAAATTTAGGAGCTAAGAAAGCTGCAAAGAAATGCAACGCAGAAGGTTGATTATGAATGATTGAAAGAAATTTATGTTTCGAGCTTCTCTCAAGCAGAGTTGTGCTGCTAGAGGCTATCCTCTACCGCATTTTAATGCAATCTGTTTCCAATTTTTCAAATTCGGGAGAAAATAAATCTTTCTCAAAGACCTTTCTCTGCAGTAAATTCCAAGTCTCATTAAAATTCAAGAGACGCATTTGATAAGGAGTCTTATCTAAGCTAACATATTCAGCCATCTCCATATTTCGAGCGGTCAGGAGTATTTGGCTCCTCTTGCTGAAGTTCGGGAAACATAGTTTTACATCATCCCAAGCTTTTTTAGTCCATATATCATCAATGACTTCCAAGTACCCCTTACTTTATAGAAGCTTTTGCAATTGATCCGCTAGTTGCCCATCATCTTTCTTCTTATAAAATTCATCAGTCTTGGCACTTATAGCATAAAGAAGGCATAAGAGTACATTTCTCACAATAATCTTGTGAAATAGTAGCTTTTGCATGATTGTCAAAATGAGACATAATGAGTGGATTATTCTAAATTTTGTCAGCCAATGTTGTCTTGCCAACACCCCCCCCNCTAATTCACTTGCTCCTCTAGCAGTTGATCCTTCATGATCTCAAATTCATTTTCAAGGCCATCCATCTATTCTGTCTCTAAAGCATTAGATGTATAGCCAAGGGTCAACTTTTGGGTTTTGAGATATTCATTATTATTCATGGTCTGCATTGCCATCCACTTCTTTATGGTGAATCAATGCGCCCTTCCTGTTTCAAGAGGAAATGAAGTTTCCAATCTTCGTGTAATTGCATTTTCGGCTACGAAAATTGATTCCAAGTAAGTCGTATCTTCTGTGGTGCATGCTAGCTCTAGGATTCAGCTTCCAAGCTTGCCAATGCCTCATGATCGCCTATTATTTTCCAAGGTTTCTCCTGAATAGCTCTTAAAGGTTCAAGCTTTTCATAGAGCAATTGCAGGGTATGTCCAGTTGACTGCATTGATTGCTCTACGGTTCTCATGTAGAGAGCTAGTAGCACATATATGTCAATGTCCTTGTCTGTCTAATGTGTGTGATGTAGTGTATCAATGAACAAAAAGGAGCAAAGGCCAATTACCAAAAAAAGGGATCAAAGGACCCTCATTTCTTTATAGAAAAGGCAGGTTCTATGAAAGCATTAAAATAATTATCGTTCCTTTGCTTCCAATACTGCGTAATTCACCCATCTGCTAGCCCATAGATGCCTCGCCTCCTTGTCTTCTTCCTTTTGCTGTCTTACTTCTCGCTTTGGCTCCTAAAGCAATTGAATATGAGAATCAGTTAGTTTCAAGAGGGAGGAGTCTTCAACCTTCACACTTGCTGTGAGTTCGAAACAATTTTAAGATCCCTCTCAGTGATTGAGTATCTCCAACTATTCCATATCAACTATGGAGAAAGATCATCCTAACGAGTCAATAACCTTGGTAATAGGGCAAACGAAAGAAAACGAGACCTTTCAATGAATTGAAAATAAAAATTTTGTGGAACACCAGATCTTCAATAGACGAGAAAGGTAGTCATTTCATCCAAGTTTCAGGTGAGTGACAGTTTACAAGTCATCTTCTCCTTTCAATTCATAGCAACTAATAAGCACTCATTCTTGGATGGTAACAAATTATGATGCAAGCCCAGAGGGGGGTCGAATGAATTGAAAAATCAGAATCCAGAACTTATACTGGATGCAGTTCATGCTAATTACCTTCATGGTTCTACAGCCATCTACAATCTTATCTAATATATTTCTTTTTCCCATCTTGTATAACCTTATACAACCTAAATTTGAATACAAAGAAACATTTTCTTACAATGTAACTAGTATTATCTCAGTTCCAAACGGAGAGATGTACTCGTGAACCAAGACAGTTAACCCACATGTTTGCTCTGAACTCCCTCCGAGCTACGACTGTGATTTTATGATTTGACACTAATAAATACTTATCAACTTCTAAGAGTCCTCCTGTTTCCATCTTTTGAAGTTGATTGTCTCGACGGGGTAAGCTTCCTAAATGAGGCATGCAGAATCATCACTGCAAATGCATCAATTAGCTATAAGCTCTTGAAATTAGGACTAAACCAAAAGATAAAACGATAGAGTAAGAATAACAAATTGGGCATGAAAGCCAACCCACCTGCATAACTGACAGCAATGGCTGAGATGAGAGCCATTTGAACGTTGGTACAGAATAGAATAACTGCAGTTGCTGTTGTAGAAAAGCAGACTCAGTTCTCGAATTTATAGAGTAGCAGAAAAGTTCTGCTTGGTAGAATAAATTAGTGCTTAAAATTGTCCATCGAAACAAAATCCAGCCAACATACACTTGAAAAGACTGAGAAGCGTTTTAAAAAACGAGAAGCGCAAAAACAGTAACAGGGACCTTCGGCTTAAAAAAAGGAACCTAAACGCACGATTCTTCAAAATAAAGCAGACAATTACCAAACACAAAAATGATCTAACATATATGAACTTATTGCAATTAAAGTTACTAATTCCGTACTAATCTGACCAAATTCAAATTAAACATCGAAATATGTAATTTCAACAAGACCCCAAAAACATAACTACAATCACAAATCATAATTATTTTTTTTGGGGACATCAAATAATTATTCAATTTCACTTAAATCAACCATAAAAAAATTCTGCAGTATTTAGCTTCATAATTAGTTTTTTAAGCAACTCTGCTAAGTGAGTGGAAGAGAAGTAAAAGAGAAGCCCAGAGTCAAGAAGAAGTAGAATAAGAGAACTGCACAATAGAAGAGAAGAGGGTCATTGATTGAAGAAGAAACACAAGCAAAAAAACAAATTAAAGAAAAAAACAGAATTTGTAAAATAAGTATTATAGACTCAAGAAGTAGAAGAAGACTGCGACTACAGAGAGAATGCTGAAATATACATGTGAGTAGTCCTTGTGCTGATAGCACGTACCTGGTGAAATTGTTGAGGTGCGCGCAAGATTGCCCGGACATCTTCGTTATAAAAATCATATATATATATATATATATATGTGTGTGTGTGTGTGTGTGTGTGTGTAAAGAGTAGTCCTCTTACCCAAGTAGCAAATGAACTCTATTTTCCCCTCTTTTTTTTCCTTTTTATCATCCTTTTAAGTAAAATCAACCTTCTGCCAAGTCAACCTTCAGCTATGAAGCGATAACACCTTTTTTTTGGTGGATAGGTAAACAAGGATTTGGCACACATCTCAGAATTTATCTTTTGTTAAATACCGTGTTAAGGGGATGGAAGAATTGAGCCAATTAACCTTTTCTATACCAAAAGCATCCTTCACATTGTTATGTAAGAGATACCAACATCTCGCCAACTTTGCAAGTACAACAAAAGATGATATAGCTTCCCATTTCATTTTTCCCTCTACTTTTAGTTTCTTACCAAAAACACCGAGAAAACCTTTCCCCACCTTTTTCCTTTTTAACTTTTAGGCTCATTGACACCAGTATATCTGAAGCTAAACAATTTAAAGCTATCTTCGCCATATTTTGCTCATGCACAATATTTGAGATCTGAGTAAAAGGTAAAAGGTGTGGGTACAACAAAAGATTATATGGAGATGTTATAAGTCGTCCTTTTTTATAAAGGTAATCTCCTGTGTAATATATGTGCACCTCGACTATTATAAATAAGCCTTCCCTTTTTACTTTGCCTCTTTGCTACCATCCAACCCCCCAAAAAAAAAAAAAAGGAAACTACGCCAAAATCCTTTTCCCACTTATTATACTTCAAGGCCCACCTGAACTAGTATATTTGTGGCCCAAAGCATTTAAAGCTGTTTCCACTATATTTTTCTTGTTTACAAAATTTTGACTAACAGAAGCCTTCCGTCCTTTTTCTTTTTTGAAATGGAGAAGCCTTCCATTTTTTACTTTCCCTCTTTTTCTTTAGATTTCCTAACCCAAACCAAAAAAGAAAAGAACTACTCAAATATCATTTTTCCACTTATTTAAAAGAAACTTTCAGGCCTAGACACTAATATATCTGCAGTCTAAAGCATTTAAAGACAGTATTTTGCTTGTTTACAACATTTGAGTAAAAGACACAAAGTTCCTTCCCCATCGTCCCTACAACATCTTAATCAACAAAATTTGGAGGGGGAGGGGGTACTAACTAGTTCAATCATCACGAGAACTTGAGGAACTTTTGAATGAAAAAACTGAGAGACTAACATTCTTCAATAATGAAAAAGAAACCGATTTTATAATCTATGCATTCGTTGTACAAGTACCTAATTTATGAACTTTTCATGCATTTTTTTAATGAATGTTAATTGTTTATAGAGACATTTTACTTGAATTAACATTCTCGCAAAAATTTCCAGTTAAAGGATACTTTTGGAGCAAGATAGAACAGGTTTGGAGAAGACCAACCATATATCCCTGCTCCCCTTGATGGACTCGTTAGTTAATTGCTCACATCTGGATCAATTACGTAGTACCATCTCATTACATACTTTTAGCTTAGTGGTTGGATTATTTTTCCTTGATCCTGACTTCTAGTGATCTTGGTGAAAGGTCTTAAGAGCATCCATTACATTGCAAATGCAATGCCTCTGGAACACCATTTTATCTCAACCAAAATTTGGCATAAGAGCCTCCAGTTTAGAGGAGTACGGTTTGCCATTTGGTAGAAGGAAAACAGATATGGACAATATTCAAAAGGTTGAAGAGAAGCTTAAAGATCAGGATCAGTTAACACATAGGATAAATCACAAGCCATATGATAAAACAGTCAAAGCTACGATCATATTATTCATCACCAATATACACAGATAGAATGCTGGGACCTGAATCATTTAAGAGAGTGGCACCCCATTTTTTCCTCTTTCTTTCTTTTTTTTTTTNAGGGCGCTGCTCTAATCCCCAACGATCTCCACATAACTTTAATACATCCCAAAGCGCCAAACATAATATCAACCCTACAAGCGCAAGCAGCTTCTGGTACCTGTAACCCAAATTTATCAACATTCAACTAACAATCAAATTGCACTAAAATCAAGAAACCAAGCAACAGAAATTAAATCCTGCAGCTACATAATATTTGCTAAATTTGGACCAAGTACTATCTTCAAATCTCCAAGCCCTTAACATCTTTTTTGTTTGACAAGTACTCTGAAATCTAAAGGGCTTGAACATATCACCCAATAACTGAAACTTTGTCCTATGTGAAACCCTAGCTTTTAGATTACAATTGCTTCAGCTTTCAAATTTCAATTGGCACATATAAATATATACCAAAAACCGTATACATGTTCTTTATGTCATGCAAATGATATATTCTTGAGGAAGAAAGAAATTACGTAGAGTGCTTTATAACTTAAATTAAGAACTATCCAAATCCTTATCAAAAAGAACTATCTAAATCCACTATCCTCCGAGTGAGCCTCATTTAGCTCTCAGAGCCTAACAACGTCAAACTTCTCATACAAAGTCAATCGATCAATCAACCAACAACTCAATTCTAAACTAGTTGGAGTCAGTTATATGAATTCTCTATATTCCTTCTAATTCGTTCGGACCGGTTTCAGGTGTACTGCTTAAAACAAATCCAATATTCAACTTATCGCACAAGCACAAATTTTAACCATTATTAATAGTACAAATTACAATCGATAACATATACTTGTCAATGTCCACATACATGCTTAAAAAGTCAAGACACACAAATATACATACATAATGTGTGTGTATATGTGTATGTGTGTGTGTATGTGTAGAGAGAGAGAGAGAGCATACAGAGAGCAAGCGAAGAAGAGGAGGAAGAGAGAGGTATAATTGCGGGCATAGCGTTTCACATTCTCGTGGACTCTAAGCCGAGCCTGAGAAGGCGACGAAGGAAACGAGTATGAATCCAACGACCCGACGAACAGTCGAGTCCACGACGGCGTATCACCGGAAAAATCATCCGACGTGAGCTTCGCAAACGGATTAAGCGTAAAAAGCGACAGTAAGGTTCCAAGATATGAAAATATCTGAACAAAGACCCCGTTGGAGATTGAAACTGCGGCGGCGGCAGAATTAGTAACAGCAGCAGCGTCGGAAGAGGAAGCAGAGGCGGCGGCTGTGGTGGCGGTGGAAGAGTGGCGGTGGAGATCGGTAGTCCGTTGATCGAGAATTTCGAGGTAGCCGGTATCTCGGAGCCAGGATTCAAATACGGGCTCGGGTACACTTAGAGATAACGGGTTGGATGAGAATGCCATTTTCTTTCCCTCTTTAAGGAATTTGTTTTACGGTACTTATCTGTATCGTTTGGTGGGAAATCATATGAGTAACCAACAAAATCTTCGGGCTCCTCCTTGTTTTATCTAAATTTTTAGGGCGAATTTCGAATATTTTGTGGTGGGCGCTTTATTCGGAAAGTATCTTATGCTCTCTTTGAATTGAACTCTTACTTTTATTTTTATCTTTTACCATATAATATAAGATTTCAATTAGTTCAACTAACGTAGATTCAAGTCCCATAGAGTTCATTAAAAAAATACTTTATTTTTATGATAAAGAAAATGATTTCCTTTATTGGAATACTCACCTACGAGGAGCTATGACGTTATTCCTAATTAGTATCCGTATCCGCGCGTTGCACGGAAAATGTAAAATATAACATTTTAAAAGAAAATATTATTTGGAAATAAGGTACACGAAAAGGAAACACATTAATACATTCAAGTCATATGGAAATAGACTTCTCCCTTATAAATACAGCTAGTGAGAAAGGACCTAGAAGCTTTCTTGTGCAGACCATAGGCAATGGCAGCAGCTATAAGCTAAGTAATAATACACATAACATTCAGCTCATAAATTGTAGAAGCGAAAATTATAAATAGGGAACTAAATAAGCACATACAGATCTTTAGAACCTTATGAAAAGTGTGAATACAAATTCTTAAACCGAGTAAAAGCACTCAACCATTACAAAGTTGTACCTTTAGTCTTTCAACCTCATTATCAATAAGAAAATGGAGCAGATGTATGACTGTGACATAACCAATAATACTATATGGTTTCACTCCAAGTTCTTTTTTTGTCCCACCCTTTTTCAAATATTGTAAGCACCGCAGGAAAAAAATATATTTTAGTCATTGCTGAACTTTGTCCATAAGCAATCAACCGGGAAAAACGTCATAATTTAAGTTTTGAATTCAGTTATATTTGACCATTTTTGCAATCCACTATTAGTCAACATTCCCATAAGCCGACTTTTTATTGGCCACAAGTAATAACAGTGCCTAAATCCCAACTAAACCAAACGTATTGCTTTAAAATTAATTAGGAAACTTTTGAGGAAACATGTCATCTTTTCAAGAGAAAGAAATAATAATGTATAAGGCTCTAATTCATGGTCATCGACAAAGATTTTTTTTATCAGTAACACATGAATTCTTCAGCTTCTTGGTTTCTTTTAAAAACTTAAGTTACCAAGCTATATGATATTAGAGTATTATGGAAGAAATGAAAGCCAACTTTTACTAATTTGCTCAACATATGCTGAGAGAAGGTAGTGTAACAGAACATGTTATGCTCTTTGCAGATAAGTATATTTCAAGAACTATGACATCCTCGTTCTTCAAAGCTAGTCTGACCAATGTTGTATGCAGGTCATGTGTCAATAAAGATGTATGCCATAACAATGTATGGAGTTTGAATACCTTGTAAATTAAAGTATGGGCTAGCAGCACAATTCTTTCTCCTATACATCAAATAATCATAATTTTTAATCAAACTATAATAGATTGTCATCTTTTACTAAATGTAAGAAAGACTATTGAAAGAAATTACCGCTTTAATCAATAAAGTTAAAAATGCTGACGAATTTAATAAACTTTTTGACTCTATTGTAAATTATCTTATTATAAAAGGAACTTGACAAATAAAAGTTTCAACAGGTTGGGCAATAGCCCTTAAACATGTTTTCCCGAGGAACAATCGGTACTAAATTACCTGATCCTTCATTACTCACATTGCTTTGCATCTCCTCACTTTATACTTTCTTCTGCATCCCAAAAAATTACAATTAATGGTTAACTTTCTTTGTCCTCAAACTATAAGCTGAAATCGAGTAGAATAATAAAAATTGTGCATTCTTTTGTGAGGTTCAAATCGCAGCATTCTGCTTTACCTTTGGGAGTAAACAAAGTTTGACCCACTCTAAGTTTTGATGTATTTTAACATAGTCAGTTTAAGACATTGGAGTAAAATAAATTTAAAATATTCAGTTTTCATGAATATTGACTGCATTGGAACATGAAGATAAAGTGATAAGATATGAGAATCAACTGATTTTTGACATTCAAACTTAACTTGGAATGTGTAAAGGCTCTATTAAATAGAGGACGGAAAAAAAATTATTTGTAGTTGTATTTGAAACTACAGAGAAAATGCAGAAAAAGAATTTAGAAGGAACCTTATGAAAAGTGTGAATAGAATCTTTCGGATCGACATAACAAAATTTAAAAAATGCAGAAAATAAAAAAAAACAGAACACATTGCAATTACTTACTCATTTCCAATAGAATGATGAAAAATCCAACTTATAATCTGTTGCAATCCACATAACTGAACAGGAAAGAGAAAGAGAAAAAGAAAAAAGAATTATAACGAAAATAGTAACGACTTTAGAGCTCAGAATATTTATGCTTAACAAATGAAAAATCGAAGGTTTCGCTTCTGATTACCCGATTCTCTGAAGATTTCCAAAACATGAGATCTTTGTCAATACTCTATGAGAATATGCCGTCTTGTATGACAACTGACCGTATAGTACTGGAGAAAATTATATGAATAGCATCAAATATGGAGATTGAAGAAATGAAATTCAATTATGTGAAAATGCATATTTATACAGACAAAAAAAAATTGAAAGTTAGTGATTCCTACTTGGAAAAATCTTCAAGAAGTGTAATATGTTCCGCATCTGCTATGAGAACCAACAGTTTGACTGCTTCATGTCTAATAGTTGGATGGTTATTCACATCTTTAACAGACCTGAATAGTGCATCTGTAGAATTTTTAGTATGTAATTTCCCAATACATAATCCATTTCATGCTTTAGTAAAGCAATATTTGAACTTACAGATTCTTTAATTGGGAAAATTCTTCGTGTCCACCATTGTTCTAATATGAAAAAAGAGCAGCATAACACTCATACATGCCCAGTTCTTCACTCAAAAGAACGTAACTCTGGTCTTAGACAGATGAAGAAGCAGAAGGAGCAGCTGGTCTATGGATAGAAAGGGTGACAATACCATTGTTGAGGAACCGTTATCAATTACTATATTCTTCAACTCTTTGATTTGTCTTAGAGTCAGTTCACTTGTCTGTCAGAATTATTGAGCTGGAATTGTAGCCAAACTGCTTTATATCAGGGAAATATTAATTTATAAACCAATTACATGAAAAGTATGAAGAAGAAGAATAATGAAAAGGAAGTGTAAGACACTTACATTCCATATGTCATTAAGTTTTTCCAGTTGTGAGATCACATTAATAATTCGAGCACTAAATGGAGAAGGCATCATTAACAGAATGGTGACTTTGATCATAATTTTGTTGTTATAGTAAGAAAGAGCATAATCAAATAATAAAGTAGCATAAACTATAACACATAGCAGTAAACTATTGAGAAGCAATTATATTGTATCACATTATCCAATTGATGAATTACCACATTCAAACCACTTGCGTAAGTGACATTGAGTACTTCTTCACCAATGCGATGTAACAACTACTGTTAATCCATGTAATGGAAGTTACTGAACAATCTGTAAGTGCAACATTAATGAAATATTATTTTATATATCTAGAATTGTGTAACAGAAAAAGATTTGAAAAATACCGAAAACTAAAGCGTACCTATTCCATGTTTGAGGAATCATCTCAACAGCTAACTTCTCAGTTGGTTCATAAATCTCAGCAAGAAAAATAGTACTTAAACCTCAAAAAAGATATTAATGATCTTTCGAGTGTCAGACTAAATTTCGAAAAATTTCTTTAAATACTACATTTATAGCTTCAGTAGTTATTTTTCCATCGTCATCATAAACCAAAATTTTTAATCCCTTTCTAGTTTTCACCCGGGAAAGAGCAACATATAGTTGTCCGTGTGTAAACACGGGTTTCTTCAAAAATAATCCCACGTGAGACAATGACTGTCCTTGACTTTTGTTGATTGTCATGGCAAAAGATACAACGATTGGAAATTGTCTTCGCTGAAACTTAAATGGAATTCTAGCATCAGATGGAGTCAATGTCATTCTTGGAATAAATACTTTATGTCCAACCATTTGTCCTGATAAAACCTTCGCTTCAATGACTTGATTTCCAAGTTTGGTTATGATCAGCCTTGTTCCATTACATAATCCTGCTGTCTGGTCAATATTTCTTAATAACATTACCGGAATACCAACCTTTAGAGTAAGCGTGATTTGGAACTCCTGAACATTTAATAGTATTTAAGAATTCTGGTGTGTGTACATGTTCCAATGTTGAATAAGTATGGTCAGAGCTGCAGATTGTATCGGAACTCAAATATGATTTCTCAGAACTTTCATTAAGCGAAATCAGATATTCGTTGATTGATTCCACCATATCAAGAGTTAGAGCAAGAATGGCTCTTTGCTGGAGGAATCCTATATCACTGCAACGACTGTTAAAATCGGGATATGTACTTTCTACAATTGCAGATATTGGATCATCAGACTGTTTTATCAAAAGATCATTTGGTATTTGGACTTTTTCATAGCTATCAACAGAAGTACCAACCATACCGTCGCCAATTCCCAAAATCCAATCTGAAAAAACTCTCAACTCATCTAAATGCGTCCCTGTTTCATTACCTTGCAATCTCATATTCTTTGTTACCTTTAAGAGCTGACAGTGTGGCCACAAATAAGAAGAATTGAGAGATGCATTAACAATATCTTGCCTAGTGCCTTTTCGAATGACAGGTAATATTTGTCTGAATTCACCACCAAGAACAATTGTTTTACCTCTAAATGGGCAGTCTAAATTGGATACATCTTTAAACCTAAGAATATCTCTTAAAGTTTTATCAAGAGCTTCAAAACAATATTTATGCATCATGGGTGCCTCATCCCAAATAATCAACTTTGCCTTGACAATTAAATTTGCTAAAGGAGTACCTTGCTTAATATTACATGTTGAATCTTCAGTTAGATTTAGAGGAATCACAAATCTTGAATGAGCTGTTCGACCACCTGGTAACAACAGAGATGCAATCCCGCTAGATGCAACAGTTAACTCAATATCTCCTCTAGATCTTATGGCAGAAGACAAAGTTCTCCAAATAAAAGTCTTGCATGTTCCTCCAAAACCATATAAAAAGAAAAATCCACCCTTGTCTTCATTCACAGCTCTTATTATTTTTTCATAAACTGACTTTTGCTCATCTGTCAAATTCTTTACTAATTATTGATGTTCCTCCGCCAAAGCGCGTTTATTATAACGCAATGCATCCCATATTAATCTATTACTGTTGTCAACTTCTTCCATATTATAAACAAGCCTTGGCATTGTTGGAAAATCCTGAAAACTTCTTCCACAACCTTTCAAAAAAACTTCAAGCTTTTGCAAACAATGATTTTTCAATTCATGATTTGTTAGCTCAACTTCTGTAATAACATAAAAATATAAAATAATTAAATACAATTAAATGTTAAAGTTTAGTTTAGCAATATGAAATTAATAATAAGATTAACGAAACCGTAAAATGTTTAATAGTATTTTACATGAATAAAGATTAACGAAACCGTAAAATGTTTAATAGTATTTTACATGAATTAAAAGCACATGTAACGTACAAAGAATATGAAGGAATAAGATAGTCCAAACCTTGTGCTTTATTTTATTTTAAAAAAATAACTAAAGTGCAGAATGCATAAGAGCGATTATAGGCTTTCCCGAAACTTAAGGGCATTAAATATAATGTATTAATTGGGTATTAGTATTTATGTCTGGAAAGTGTATCAATCAGTAACAATATTATTCCTATGATCTAAACACGACACTATAGTAAAAAGACATAAACATAACAAAATATTGTTTACGGAACCTTAAGTCTTGGAATGAATTTTGTATGAACTTTAATATATANTCAAGCTCCAAAAGAAAAGCAAAATAGTATATATATATATATATATATATATAAAGCAATGAACAATCAGATTAATATGAATGAAGTAATTAAAAATAAAATTAATCAATAAAGTTAAGAAAATCAACCATCCTTTAGAAGTATCATATCATATTGAAATTGCAAGCATTTTATACGTACCTGGGCGATCCAATATTGTTCTTTCTTCATGAAGGATATCTTCTGATAGTAAATGCCATGTTGCTTGCCAAACTCTTTCTGGCAGTGATATTGAATTTGATAAAAGTAGCATAGCAAATAATTGCCTAAGATATGATGTCATTCCCCAATTACTTGCTTCCATTATAGCATCCACGTATTCCTTATCATCATCTAATAAACCCAAAGCATAACATGCATCTCTAAAATTCTCATGATCACAACCGTTGATTCTTTTGAGTTCGTCATAGCTCTTTGGACCTTTAATGACATTCAAAAATAATCTAAGGTAATATTGCTCGCCGGATCCAGGTGGAACAAAGAAGATTCTCCCAATAGAAAATGCAGATGTTCTTCTTTTTTCCCATCTTTTCAGGTTTTGTTTCCACACAAACTTTAGAGGAAATTCTGCATAAGTCAATTTTCTTACTTCAGGAAATGTCTTATTAGCTTCAAACCAGCTTAAAACATAGATTCCTTAACGGTTGGTCTGTTGACAACTGCATCAATTGGATCATCATCCGAAAATATGACAGTTTGATTATTTGGCAGGTGAAAAGATAGCCTTTCTACCGATGGTTCTCTGTGGTGTATTGAGAATTTAAAAATTCTCCAAGCAGCTTCACAAGGTGATATGTATCGGCAATCACAATACATATTTATTTCATCAACGACCCCTGAGTCTTCCTTATTTACACTTTGAGAAAAAGCTGTGATAACACGATCATTTCCTTTATTAACATACTTAAATAAGTAGTTAATAGATCGTGATTGATTACACCACTCCGCGTTAATATGTGCACCATACTTCAATAATAAAAATCTATTGTGTGGTACAACATACCTATTATCCAACTCAATACCTACTCTCTTTGCAGTTCTACCATCATCTCTTCTTCTATAAATTGGATACTCATCTTCATCAATTGTGGTTGATGACACAATTTTTTTTGGAAAGTGCTTTGTACATCTACCATTCTGCATGCAAGGAGAAGATTTTCTAGCAGCACCACAAGGGCCATGCATCATGAAATTTGTAACGGCATTATAATAATGAGGATCTACTTTTTTATCTGGTAATTCTGTTGAAATTATTCCATCAATATCTGCGACATTTGGGTATTTATTCCGAAGAAAAAGCAAGATGTGTGCATGAGGCAAGCCTCGCTTTTGGAATTCAACTGTATAAATCACTGAAATACAGAATTAATTAGATAACTAAGTTTTTATATTATTTATTTTTAATATTAGTATATAATAAAATTAATGTAACAATGTAATAATTTTTTAGAACATAAAAAGTATACCTGCTTTTACTTCTCCAAAAACTTTATTGTCACGTAGATCCTTTATCATGCGATCCAGCTTGATTTTGAAAACCCTTGTTAAAATGTTGGGACGATCTTCTGGAGATAATCCCCTACTCTCCACAAATCTAATAATCTCTGGCCATTTTGGGTTGCAGGTAAATGTGATGAACAGATCAGGGTACCCGGCCCATTTGCAAATTGCCATGGCATCTTGATAAATTTGCAACATGTAACGTGCACCCCCCATAAAGCTGGAAGAGAGTATAACTCTTTGTCCTTGAGAAGAAGGTTCTATGTCTCCATGTAAAACAGCATCTTGTAACCCTTTATAAAAGTGTGCTCTCAATTGTTTTTGATGAAGCCTAATGAACCTCAATCGAGAAGATTCCATCATTGTATAACCATCTACCAAGAATTGCTGAAATAATCTTCTAGTTGACACAATTGTTGGAACTTCATCCTTCCTTTCTTGAATTTTATACGATAAGTACTCACGCGTGCTAACGCATTTCCTTCCACCGGTAGAATCATCAATATCATTTAAAGGAATATCTTCTCGATATCCGTCTTCACCATATGGAAATAATAATGGATATTGCAAACCTAAGTATGATGCATTTAATTCATTTATCCTTTGTAGTTGTCCAGATTGGCTTTCAACTATGATATCTCTATCAGACCTTGTTTGTTCAAAATCTCCAATGATCAAAGCAGCTACCTCTGAAACTGTTGGTAAATTATATCTTCTTCCATCCGAGCATCTTTTCCCTATTAATCTAAGTCTAACATTTGAGGTTCGGTCTTCTTGAAATTGATCTCTTATTATTCTAAATGACTTTGCAAGAACATTGTTGTCATCAAGCGTAACGACCCGACCGGTCGTTTTGAACTTTTGTACTTTGATCTCCAGTTCCTGGGCATGACTTGCCCCGTGAAACGTATTATGACTGATGTAGATCGTTGGTTTTAGTTTTTAGGAAAATTCAGAATGAATTTGAAGGAACAATCTCAGTTGAAAGTTTTGAATTTGAAAGGTTTGACTAAGAGTTGACTTATTTTTATATGAGCTCGGATCGGAAATTTTATGATTTGGATAGCTTCGTTGGGTGATTTATGACTTAGGAGCGCGATCAGAATGCATTTTGGAAGTCCGTGGAAGGATTTGGTTTGAATTGACAAAGTTAATATTTTAGCAAATTCCGGTTGATAGGTGAGATTTTGATCCGAGTGTCAGAATGGAATTCCGAGAGTTGCTGTAGCTTCGTTATGTCATTTGTGATGTGTGTGCAAAATTTCAGGCCATTTGGACGTCGTTTTGTCGACTTTTTGATCGAATTCGGATTTCGGAAGTTTTGGAATTCTTAGGCTTGAATCCGAGGGTGATTTGATGTTTTAATGTTGTTTTGAGCGTTCTGAAGGTTGGAACAAGTTTGAATTATGTTATGGGGTATGTTGGCATGTTTGGTCGGGGTCCCATGGGATCGGATATGTTTTGGAAGAGTTTTTGGAAGATTTTGCCGTTTTGAGCATAAGCATGCAATGATCCAAAGGTCCATTTTTAGTTCTAGAGATCGAAATTTATTTTTGAGACTTTCGGAATTTTGATAATGAATTATAGGACTGATCTGGAAAGTTTGGTCTAATTTCATCAAGTCGCGATTGGGTTTTTGACACGAAACATGAGTTAATTATTTAACGAGCGAAATGGGTATTGAACTGAGCAAATGAGCTCTGAATTGGGTTTCGACTGAAGGGCTATGTTCTTATTATTATTTGTGACTCATAGGAACAAGAATCATCGAATTCCAAGTTCGTATGATGGAGTTACAGCCTTTTTAGTGAAAAGAAAAGTTGTTGCAATTTTCTGGGCAGTTTCTGCGTTTTTCGCACGTGTGAACAGTAACCGCACCTGCGTGAATAGTATCCGTGTACAGTACCATGTATAGTAAACATGAACAGTATCCGTGTACAATACCGTGTACATTACATATGAACAGTACCCCGTATACAGTACCCATGAACAATACCGTGAACAGTACCCATGAACAGTAAAATGCGTGAACAGTAACCAGAGAAAATAACGGGGTAAGTGTTCTTAACTTAATTTTGGTTAGATTACCTGAATCTATTACTAGTTTTGGCATTTAATTGGTGATTTTAGTTGGGAAAATCTCGAAAACTCTCTTGGTTTAATTTGAAGATTTGAGGGTCGAATTGATGTCGGATTTTAGTAAAATTGGTATGGTTGGACTCGTGGTTGGATGAGGTTTCATATTCCGTAATTTTTGTCGGGTTCCGAGACGTAGGCCCCACTGGCGAATTTTGAGTGCAATTTCGAATTTTTAATGGAAAATGTAGAATTTCATATGGAATTAATCCTATAATTTTTATTAACTGAATCGAATTATTGTGGCTAGATTCGAGACATTCGGAGGTCGATTTGGGAGATAAAGGCATTGTGAGCTAGAGGATTAGCCGGTTCGAGGTGAGTAATGATTGTAAATGATGTCTTGAGGGTTTGAAACCCCGAATTTGCACATCGTAGTGCTATATTGAGGTGAGACACACGCTAGATGATGAGCGCGGAGTCTTTTACTACCGGGAATTGTGACTTGGTCCATCCCGATTGATGATTTTACCGCATATTTGAGTGAAACTTATTTGTTATTATCATGATTTGGGCTGATTGTCATACTTGGGCTTCGTGCCAATTATTTGAATCCTTTGGGAATTTTTATCACATTTTCTCACTGTTTTGACTTATATTTAAACTCAGTCTTGTTGATAATTATTGTTTTACAAACTCAACCGCTTTTATGCAGATTTGAAAATTCAAATGATATTTCTAAATAGTATTTTGGGCTGAGAACTACTGTTTTACAAATGCCCGAGGGGCTTATGATGATTTCCGGACTGAGTGAGGCCGAGGGCCGTATGTGAGGATATGCTGAGTGATATGAGGCCGAAGGCCTGAGATATTATTTATGCCACGAGGTGGCTTGAGTGATGTGAGGCCGAGGGCCTGAGATACTATTTATGCCACGAGGTGGCTTGAGTGATGTGAGGCCGAGGGCCTGAGATACTTTATATGCCACGCGGTGGCTTGAGTGATGTGAGGATATGCTGAGNGGGTCGTAAGGGGCCCCTCCAGAGTCTACACACCCACAGTGAGTGCGGGTACCCATTGTTCTGAGTGATTGATACTATGCCCGCGGGGCTGATATAAGTGATTGTGAGGTAGCCCGAGGGGCTGATACTATTCTGAGAGTGAGCCCAAGGGGCTGTTACTGATCTGATATTGAGCCCGAGGGGCTGGCACTGTTCTTATATTGAGCCCGAGGGGCTGGTTTTGTTGATATTATGCCCAAGGGGCGGTTTGTTGTACATGTTTTTCCCGAGGGGCTGTTTATATTTCTATCATTTTTGTTACTCACTTGTAAACTACTTGCTTTACTTGTTGGGAATAAAAAGGGGTTTTCACTTGATTTCTCACTGTTTTACTGTTTAAAGTGATTTTACTGCTTCAATATGGAATACCTTGTGTTTTTGCGTGATTTCTTGCCTTCAGTCTTTATTTATTATTATTACTCACTGAGTCGGAGTACTCACATTACTCCCTGCACCTTGTGTGCAGATTCAGGTATGTTTTGG